GATGGAGGCTATAGAGATAGGAACTTGCCCATGGATGGCTTCACACGCTAAACTAAGCTGTTTGAACTTATCAGAAATAGTGGCATTCCCAGTCCATGCTTATTAAGAATTTATTATATGCCAAGAGGTATATCTGATTCTAATTCTCTTGACACCTCTCCAGAGTAGGTGTTATTATTATCTCCATATCGATGCTGAAAAACTGAGTAATGGTTTATTTATGAAACTGACCTGGGTCCCACTGTTGTGTGAAAACAAATGTTAAGAGTATAGAGATGCAGAATAATCAGAAGTGCATTTTTCCTAATAAGCGTCTTTCCTAAGGGTGGAATCTGTCTTACAAATCAATGACACTAGCTGTGGCTAAGTGGTAGAGCGCTTGCCTCACACTTGTGAGGCACTGGGTTGGAACCTACATTAAAAATTAAATGGATAAATAAATATATTGTGTCCATCTGCAGCTAAAATTTAAAAAAATAGTGATGGGAGATTGGGGAGAAAATTGGGGGAACTTCATATCTAATATAATTTGAATTATTGTTTTCTACAGGAAAATTAAAATGTTTGTTAAAGAACAGGAGAAGATATTACTCTGCTGTTCTTGGGTGGAGTGCTCTGAATATGTGTATGCATTATTTTAACTTTATAATGTTTCTCAAGTCCTCTATTATCTGACTGTTCTATTATTATTATTATTATTATAGTGATAATTCCAACTATTTTAAAAAAGAGTTTAGAGGTATATTACAGAACTCTGGTGGTCATGTATAAAATAAATTGTAGAGAGGAGAAATCACAAATGCTTATTTTAAAAGTATCATGGAGAGCCCAAATTAGGCCAGTGGCAGGTAGAATGGAAAGAAAGGGCATGACTGAGAAGGGAACATCGCAGATGCCTCTTAGCTGCTGAGCCTAGGTCCTGCAGAAAGGCATGCTCCTTCTCAAAAGAGAGAAGCCAGAGAGAGGCACAGAGTTGGCAGGGAAGATGTCGAGCTCAGTTTTGGGGCATGGTGAATGTCTTGGGGGTCTGTGGGATCCCCAAGAAGACATCTCACAAGCATCTAAAATTTAATGATTTGGTCTGGGGGAATATACAAACTCATAAGGAATTTGCATCAAATATTGGTGGAAGCTATAGGAGTAGATGATGGGTAGATAGATAGATAGATAGATAGATAGAAAGATAGAATAAACGGAATGAGGAAGGACTAAGGACAAGGATACCTTGGTGGACACCCACTTAGAAGAACAAATGGTGTCCTTGAAGGAGCAACTCCTACAGGCAGCAAAAGAAAGGAAAATAAAAGGAAGAGAGTTTCCAAAAGAAAAGGGAGTTAAAGATACTCAATGCTGAAGACACTAAGGACAATAATGACTAAAAAAAGACTTGCATTTGAAAATAAGAAGTTTTCCATTCTCTCATCCCCCTTTATCTATCCCCGCTTTGCATTATCTTTATTTTCTATAACAACTCTGTCCAGTAGAAATATGACATGAGGGCTGGGGTTGTGGCTCAGAGGTAGAGTGTTTCCCTAGCATGTGTGAAGCCCTGGGTTCGATCCTCAGCACCACATAAAAATAAATAAATAAAATACAGGTGTTGTGTCCATCTACAACCACAAAAATATTTTAAAAAATAAATACGACACTAGACACATATGTAATTTTAAATGTTAGAGTAATACATTAAAAAACTTAAAAAGAAACCAGAAAAGTTTTAATATATTTTATTTAACTCAATATATTCATTACAACATGTAATCAATATAGAAAATATTAAAAAGATATTTTACATATTTTAAACATTAAGCCCGTCCGGTGCCAATTATGGCATGTCTTAAAAAAAAATAAACTTGTGTGCTCAAATGTGGTGTATATTTACATTTATAGAACATCTCAATTTGGGCCATCCATATTTTGTATGCCTTATAAACAAATGTGTCTCCTGAAGAGCAGACCTCTATTAAGATAATAGCAGCTAACATATATCAATTCCTATGTGTTAGGGACTGCTCTAAATCCTTCAGGCCAGGATTATAACTAATCTAATCTCAAAATCAGCAACAAGTTTGTTGTGCTTATCATCATCCCCACAAGTACATGTGGCTCTTGCAATAATAACATCATGTAAGTTTGGAAACTTTGCAACCCATTTTTCTAATGTGATGGGGGCAGAAGTCTGGTTGCAAAGGCGTGAGTGAAAGAGAAGTTGAGAACATTGAAGAAAGTCTAAAATGTATCCAGAAAGTGTGGTGGTGAAGAAGAAAAGACAACAGACTAAGGGAAACATGAGGATAGAAAATTTTTGTATGTGAAGAAACATTAAGATAAAAGTAGGCTGAAGAGGAAAGAGGGAGTTGGAAGCTAAAAGGGATATGGCTAAGGATATTGACAGATCAAGCCCTCTGCAAGAGTGAAGGCTCTATTGGAGAAATCGCCAGGCTGTGCTGGGAGCCATGATGTATACCGCAGCATTCCAGCTGGGAGGAGGACATGAGGATCATTTCCTAGTTTCCCACATGGGCAAAGGCAGTGTCAATAATTTTTACCTGGTGTTTCTTTGGAGTCAGGCATTGGCCCTGTGCACTACATGCTATCTCATTTAATAATCACAGAGCCCATATAATATTTGCCATTTTATAGATGTACAAGCTGAAGCAAGATAATTGGCTTCAGGTTTCATCACTAGTAAATGGAAGAGCCAGGATTTGAGCCTTGGTTATTCCAGAGATGGGAGGAGGAAGGAAAAATGTTGATGTGGGGCCAGAACCAAGACAGGTGGCTCAGGTTGTGTCAGCCTGGTTGGCATCAGGCTCCTCTGCAGAAAGTGAGGCACTGGGTTGTGGGGAGACGGGAAATCCAGGAAGCTGGGGGTGGGTTTGGATAGATACGAAATTAAAAATAAGCAACCTGCAGATGTGTAGGACATAGATATTCCAGTGTGCATGATCAGGCTCCAGACTCTAGTAGAGCTCAGCAGCTTGAGTGGGAGGCGAGAAATGGACCGGTAAGATTAGATTCATCCCTGGGCTAGAGAATCAAGGCCCTGGGAGCGGGTTCAACCTGCCCCAATGGCTCCAGTCTCCTCCGTTGCACACCCCAACCCTTGGTCTATAGCCGCAGAGTACAGGCCTAGGGAATGTATATCCAATTGAATCCGCTTCCCTAGGGGACCCTTGCTCCGGCAAAATTCCCTGTCATCTCCTAACATAGAAAACGAAAATCTCCTGTTCTGTTCCTCTCCTTATCCGCACATCCTCGCGCCCTTGGTGATTTGGCTTGGTCGGGTCCTTTTCCCGACGGCGCTCGTCCTTTTCCAAGACTGAGGGTGAGGCAAAGAAGGAGGAAAAGAAAAAAGGTGGTAGTGGGGGCAGGGAAACGGAAACAGAGGAGGGGATAGCCCCAGACAGAAACCTGAGAGAAGGAGCAACCATCACCGAGAGCCAGAAAGATCCAAAGAGGCCACTAAGACCCGCGGCGCTCGCCTCAGGTTCAGTAACAATTCCTTCCCAGGGCGTTTCCGGGGCGTCGCCGCGGTGCCTGACCCTGGGTTGCCCAGGACGTGAAAGACTGCAGGGTGCGGTCCTCTGGCCTCCTCTTCCTATAGCCACCCCCTCTCCATCTCGCCCAAGGGGGCCGGAACGGCGTCGGCGCGCAGGAGCTTTTCGGAGCAGTCGAGTGGAAAATAGACTTTAACCCGCTTTGTGGCTGCAGGGGCGCCCGGAGCGCTCTCCCGGACCAAGGCTCCTGGCTCTCAGACAGACCACTGCCAAGACCTGGCCTGGAGTCCCCGCAGAGTTGTGTGACGCGCAGACCCCCTGGCCTCCCGGCTCCAGGAGACCCGGCCCGGATCTGCGCGCTCGCGCGCCCCTCTAGCCCCTCGGATTGACCCCGGCAGCGATGAGAAAGCGGAACTCGCTTGGATCCCTTCCTCCAGATGGGCTGGCAAGGTGCGGGTGGCAGCCTCCCTGTGAGCCTTTCTAGGCCTCGACAAGGTGTTTCTTGCGACCTGGAATGCCCTGGTGGAAAAGTTTGCGGAGTACGGGTTTTCATTGCCAATCGCTCCCTCATCCCCGGCAGATTACAGCATGAAATGGAAATAGGCCCAAGCAAGACTCATCCACTGCTCTATGGTCACAGGTGTAAGGTGAAGGTCCGGGAGGCCAAGAACGCTGGCTTCCTAGTACCGCTGGCATGTCCTCTTGGGGATCAAGGTCGAGCTGCTCCAGCAGCTCCAATTTAAGGTACAACGTCCCTGAGACCCCAAACAGACTTGAGCCCACCACCAGAGAAGGCAAGGAAAGCAGATCTCCCTGCGCTGAGGCCCACTGTCCCTGTCTGAGCCAGACACCATAAGGTGACTGGGTAAACGAACTGTTTTTCGGAGCATCGCGAACTGTTGCTTGAGAGCTGTGTGGTGATGGACCCGGCGACTTGTTCCTGCTCTGCTTCTGCCTGGTTCCTTGTGAAAAGAATGAGCGTCCCCATTCCGGAGCTGTCCCCCAAGACATCCAGGAAACGCGAAACCTCAGAAACAAGGCCACAGCTTCAGAGAGCATTCAAGAGATGGATGATGGGTGAGCGGCAAGGTCCCTCAGGTCAGAGGAGCAGGGAACTTATTCTCGGGGAGGGGGGCGTATTTGTTGGATCCCAAACACCCACCCTATGCTCAAATCCAGATCAAGTTCTCTAAGAACTGAAATGACATCCCAGGATGAATGGAAGAGGGTTCGACTGAGTTTCACTAGAGAAAAGGGTTTGCCAACTCCCAGTTTCTTCCGATATCTTCTCTGACCCCACCGTGGGTTGAGACTGCTCAGCGGCCACCAGACTCAGCTAAAGGGAGGAGACGCCAGGAAAAGCCCGTGGTGGGGCGGAGAGGGGGAGGCTAGATGGTCCCGCACATTTTCCAGTCCGGCTTTTGCTTCCAACTGCGAGCTCCATCTCCACCCGCCGTCCCTCGCCCCGCCCCTCCCCGCCCCCCACCTTGGGGCAGGTGAGCGGCGGCCAATGGGCGAACGCGGGGCAGGTGCCCGCTAACTCGCGCCTAGCAGCGCGGCTGCCGAGGCCTGACGGGGCAGTACTGGGAGGATCGCGGGCGGGGGTCGGTCCTGGCGTGACTTGGAAGGGAGGGAGCCGGGCACAAGCCTCCGGTCGTAGAGGCAGCTCACAGTGGCGCACGCAGACCGCGTTAGCGCCAGTGCCTGAGCCAGAAACTGCCCGCTTGGCCGGAGGGGCCGAAGCTCCAGGCTGTGCGCGGTGGCCGGACTCCGTGCTAGCTCGCTCGCACACCCCTCGCCGCTCCGCTCCTGGCTCGCCGGCGGGGGCCGAGCCCAGGCAGGCGGGCGGGGGAGGTGAGGGGTGCGGGTGTATGTGCATGTGCCTGGCTGGGTGCACACCCCGCAAGGCGGCAGCGCCAGGACACGGAGCGCTCCCCAGAGCCCCGCTGCCTCTCACGGCTCCGGCGGCCGCGACCATGTTCCAGCCCGCGGCTAAGCGGGGTTTTACCATAGAATCCTTGGTGGCCAAGGACGGTGGCACCGGCGGGGGCACTGGAGGCGGGGGCGCGGGCTCCCATCCCCTGGCGACGGCCGCTTCAGAGGAACCACTCCGGCCCACAGCGCTCAACTATCCTCACCCCAGCGCGGCCGAGGCGGCCTTCGTGAGCGGTTTCCCCGCCGCAGCCGCCGCGGGCGCCGGTCGCTCGCTCTACGGAGGGCCGGAGCTCGTGTTTCCCGAGGCCATGAACCACCCCGCGCTGACCGTGCACCCAGCGCACCAGCTGGGCGCCTCCCCGTTGCAGCCCCCGCACTCCTTCTTCGGCGCCCAGCACCGGGACCCTCTCCACTTCTACCCCTGGGTCCTGCGGAACCGCTTCTTCGGCCACCGCTTCCAGGGTGAGTGCCCATGCTGTGCCTGCGGAAAGGGCTGGCCGGTGTCAGTGCCGCGAGGACGCGAGGGAGGCTCGGGGGCGAGAGGGGGCCGTTCAGAAGTTGTTACCGAGAAGATTGTGGGTCCGCGAAGGTCTATTCCAAGCCAGGGAAAGCCTCGCCAGATCCAGCTGCGCTCTGTCGTGTTGGTCTCTCGGTGAGTTAGGTTGGAACTTCCAGGCTTTCCCAGGAATGAGGCTGGTCCGGACGCCAAGCACAGGCGCATCCTTGGAGTCTCCTCTGGGCTTCCGTCGGCCTGCCCATTCTCTCCCCACTGAGCTAGTCCCAGCCCAGAAAGCGAAGGGACTGCTGCCTTCCCTCGCCCTGGCTTGAGCCCGGAAGATTCTTCGGTCTCACACTCACCACCAACTCCCACAGATCCACCCTCGCGGGCGCATCCAAACAGGGAAAAGTCCACCAGTTTGTCCTGGCTCAGTACGAAGCAGGGCAGCGGGCAGGGAAAATCTCAGAGTTAATGTTCAGTATGGAGTGCGCCACCGTCTTGGGATGTTTCTCAGCTAACCTTAGCCCGACTTTTCCAAGTCACACGTGCTTCTGGGACCCAGGGTGAGGAAGGTTTGCAGTAAGCGAACTGGCTTCTTTTACCGGGGGCTGCCTGCGGGAATCTACCCGGCTGCAGGGGGACTGACTACAGTCCTCCAGAGCAGCGGGCAGGGGGCGGAGGGCTTTTAAGGTCGTAGCAAGTCCTATCCCCCTTGTCTGCACCAAGCAATCGGTTTGCTAATTAAGATCCCCCACAGGCCTTACACACGCGCGCACTCACACCCTCACTCTCTTCAATTATCTGACTTTCACCTTAAAAATGAGTTGCATTTGTTGGACTTCGTTTTCTTCTTTTAATTTGTTGGAATTTGGGTTTTTTCCCCTTTCCTTCCTTCCTTCTAAGAGTGGCCTTAATTTGCGAAGTAATTGCTTTAGTTCTCACTTTTATTTTGTTAGTGTAAAGGGGACTCCAGTGTTGGGAGGTTCCATCTATCAGTGGGAGTTAGGTAATTCGGATTTTAGTACAACAACGGAAAGGGCAAGGCTGGAGCTTCAGCTCCTGGAGCTAATCTGCAGGGAAGCTGGGTGTACGACAGGAAATTAGATGTCTGGTACAATTACTTAAATAATAAAAGAAAATTATCTCTTGAAGCCCTGGCTATAGTTGTTTGACTGTTTCAGAGAAAGCTGCTTTCCTGGAACCGATTTGTCAGTTTTCTTAGTTCCACCTGACCAACAGATGCTCACACGGTAGATTCAGAGAATGTAATTACTTGATAAGAATTTTTGTGGGCAGACTTGTCTTTTCTGAGGATTTCAAAGATTTGCCCCAATCCAGATCTGGGGGGATAAAAGAAAAAAAAAAAAAGCCTACAATGTTTGCCGCTTTAGCAAGAGTTCCTGTTACTTAAAACCAATGCTTACTGATAAAATGAGGTTATATTCAAATTCAGCAAACTACCCCGGGTAGACTCAGCCTGGGTTTCAAAACCTTGCACCCACGGGCGGAGTTTGAGCCTCGGCAAATTGTGAGCCCGCATCCGGCGGGTAGGGAACTGGTGAGGGTCAGGAGCTCAGAGAAGAACCAGGCGACAGGTCCCCAGACCTGTGCAGCGGCTCGGCTTGATGGCCACCCGAGAGGCTCCCTCCGTTTCGGATCCTGAGTCCCACGCGCTCGGTAACACCTTTTGCACCTCTGGCTTCACCCTCGAGGACCTGGGGCACCCAGGGTTGGATGCGCCTTGCAAGAGATAAGGTTCCTACTCTGGGCATTCCTAGCCAGTTGAGGCCGGATAAATTCTCCGCAAAACCCTCTCTCGGAAATTGCTGCAGCTCCCCGAACCATCAGTCCCAGCGGATACGTTGTAAAGTTGCAGAAACGGTTGGATTTTTCTCTCAAGAATCGCGTCTTGACGCGGAGATGGAGGCAAGCGGTCGCATTTTCTAATCCAAAAATCCGGTGGGCACTGAAGGACTTTTCAAATCCTGAGAGACCGTGGCTTTGGGCCCATCGTCTCTGCGGCAGATCGAAGTGCGTCCGGGCGGCCGAGCGCCCTCCAGTCCGGCCGGGCCTCGGGGCTGGGAGCCGAGCCGTCCCCGGGCCTCCGGCGCCGCGTTTTCTAGAGAACCGGGTCTCTGCGTTGCTCATTTCAGCCCCGTTTTAATGCAAAAAAAAAACCGAAACCCTACACGAACGAAAAGGAAACATGTCTGCGCTCTGCTCTGCGCTCTGCGCTCTCAGGCAGCGCGGTCCGGCGCACGGGGAAGGGACTTCTCCACTAAGCTAGGCTGTGGAAGATTTAAAAAAGGAGCATGGAATGATCTGGACCCTAAAGCCTGGGGCCGCTCGCGAGGTCGGATGAGAGGAATCCGCGAAGAGAGAGATTGGCTGCATTTCGGCGCTATTTCCCCGAGATCAAGAACTTTCCGGGCAGGGAAGCGGCGCTGGGAGGGAGCTGTGGGTGAGACCAAGCCCTCCCGGTCCAGCGATGGTAATGGGCCCATGTTTCAAAGGGAGCCTTTGTTCCAGCCAGAGAAGGAGAATTGAGGTTATCTCCGCCGCCTGGCCTTCTTTCCCAGTCCTAGCCCCAGGCCCCTCCGCCCGGTAATCCGGCCTAGAGCCCCTGGCCGGCCGCGGTCTCTCTAGTAAGTAAGGATTGCAGCTCGAGCCCAGGGCTCTTCCGATCCGTAGCTCTCGCTTCCGGCTGCCTCATTCCTGGGAGTCTCTTACTGCTAGCTCCCAGCCATAGCCTTGAAGAGGCCCGCAGAGAGAGGCTACAGGAAAACCGTAGAGGTGGGGGATGTTCAGTTCAAACTCCAGGGAAGGCTGTAGCAGTCCGTTTCCCCTTCACCTTTCTTAGTTCGAAACTGACAGCCTTTTCTCAGCCTGGAATTATGTGTGCAAACTGGCCGCACCACAGCCCCAAACTTGTTTTGCCCTTGTGGCCCAGTCAAGAGAAAATGAAGAGTAAGGGATGATTGGAGGTGGTAGGAAGGGATGGACCATTCCCTACAGGTCAGAGTGAGAGGGGTCCAGGTCCAGTAGTCACCTAAGGCACCCTTATCCTTACAGAAACAATTGATCAGTGTCTTGGGATGTTAGTTTTGTACTAAACATCCTTCCTTCTTAGTGGAAGAAGCCCTGCTTCTTTTGGATCAAATAACCTGTCATTGTTTATCAACATTTTGTATAATTTTCCAGAATCCTGCTTCTTCATGTTGGGTTAGAAGGATACCTGTCCTTATGTGGACATAGACTGGGACACATGTTGCCTACCACAAGAGGACATTACAATGAACTGGGGCCATTCTTTCAGCGAGATAGACCCCACACAACTTAGCTTTCCCTGAAACTAACAAGACTGGAGGCAAAGGAGTTATGTATGTCAGAAGGGCAGAGCTTTTGGCTGCCATCCTCCACTCTGGATTATAAAGACAGCACTCAACTCCACTACACAGGTGACTGATACACTCCCCCAAATCATAAAACAGCCATTAAAGTACAGGGACTATCGCAGAGTGCAATTTGCTTTCTCAGCCCCACACTTTCCTGCACACCTCTGCATCCACACATCCAGGGCCTTTCCTTGCTATAACCCCACTCCTGACCAGTTTAGGCCAGCCGGCAGCTGAAACCAAACCCTTTGAATGCTGGGATGAATTAGGCTTTTTCTTTCCCTCTCAGGTTCATTTGTCCAGAGGAAATCAGTGCCAAGACTTCACCTGGACTCAGAACAATGTTGGTTTTTCAAGCAATTCATTTTAACATCACCAAGAAGCATCCCACTCACCTCCCCCCCCTTTCCCTAAGTGTATCACTTTGGTTCCCCCCCCCCCCCCAACACACAGACACTTTAATCTTCCTTATTCCCCCTGGAGCAGACTCCTCATTTTTTCTCCTTTTACCTCTCTCTGGAAGACAACCTCCCCTGACCATCTGTCCCTCTACCTCCTCCATTTAAATCTCTCTTCCTTTAGTCAGGACTAATGGCCCTGGAACTGACCCCACCTTGAACGGCTCAGGGGACCAGTGCCCCTCCTCCATCTCCCTCTTTTTTAACATCACAGATCCAGCCACTTGAATGGATAAGATGACTGGAGGTTAGTGATTTTGACTCTCCCCAGGCCATAGATCTCAATCATAGGCAATCCTGTTCCACAGAAAACCTCAGTAATAAAATTGGCCTTCGTATGTCTCCAAAGTCCAAGGACTTGGAGAAAGTGAGGTCAGGCAGATTCCACCAGCAGAGGGACCAAACATTTACCTGGAGAGTTTTAGCAATAGCATCTTTATGATGTGCCTGTACTCCACATACATAGATGCTTCCTAAGATGGGAGAGCTCAACTGAATTGTCCAGATAATTGTCTTAAGAGCAAAACTGCTGGTCAAATTGAGTCAAACTGGTAACCATCTCTGAAGAAATTAATTGGATCAGTCACTCTCAACAGCAAACTCTGTCAAAACATTCCGTTTAGGGCTCTGTGTTGGTGGGTCAGGGAGACTGTTATATACCACTGTGTGAGACTCCATGGGTGATGTTTTCAGAGCTTGTTTCCAGGCTGTAAGAATGTGCAACTAAGACTGGAGATTGTGTGAGGGGTTCACTGAAGACTGGGTCTATGAGTGGAAGCCTCTTCTGGCTTTTGTACTTTCTGATCACCGCCCTAGCCTCATCCAGTCCCCCTGAGTGTAGGAACTTGGTCCAGCATCTGCCAAGGGACAGTCATACTAAAAAATCCTATTCAATAAATTAGGGGAGGGGGAAGGTAGTAGGAAAGCTGGAGCATATATTTTTACTCATGCCTTTGCAGAAACCAATATATCTATATCTATATATATTAGATGACATCCAGATATTTATTTACATGTTTCTTGAGCATAGGACTATTTAGGGATGAAGCAGTGCCTTTTCCCACTAGGGAATAATTAGAGTCTCTTGTGAGGACAAGGTTTAATCCTTGAGGTTGGGCCTCCAGGCAGTCTAAGGTTTGTGGAGAGAGAGGTGGGGCAGGGGGAAGAAGGAGCCCAACTTCAATTTAGATCTCCAGGTGCTTCCAGCAGGATGACCTAGCCTCTGGCTATTTTTACCTTTTCCAAGATAGAGCCTGCTCCTATCCTTTCGGCAGAAGTTTCCAACAGGCTAGTAGCCTGAGCATGTAGCTGCCAGATTAGTTGAAGCAAGTGTGAGAGGAAAGTCCTTGGGTACTTTCTAGTTTGGGGTGGGCTGGCCTACAGCCTGACTGTTCCCCTTATCACCTTCGGTACTCTCGGTCTTTTGGGAGAGAGGTGCTTCACAAGCAGTTACTAAAAGCAAATCACTGGGGTGAGGGGTGAGGGGGTGGGGTGAGGGGGGTGGGGTGGGGGGAGAGGTAGCAAGGCTGTGAAAGGGAAAAGGAGGGCCAAAGGACTTTTGCCATCCCTTGGCCTCTTCGGCTGCTCCACGAAGTGTGGATTTGGGCGGGTCGGCGCCTCATCAGGCCTGGCGTGGACTCTGGGCCCCAAAGAGTGATCCACTGGGCTGGGATTGCGCGCATCCCTGGCGGGGTAACTCTCCAAGTGTGGGGAGGTGTTGGGAAGCAGGGTAGAGTCAAACGGCAAAAGGGAAAGGGGAGAAGTGGATGGGGGTATCAAGGATTGGAGACTGAGCGGAGCCAAGGACGCTCGGGAGAGGGGTTGGAGGCCGAGCGTGGCCCGCTCCCCCGGGCGGCCTGGCGGCCGGGCTGCAGCTTACAGCGCCCCTTCTCTCTGTCTGTACCTGCGTGTGCTGCCGTCGGCTGCCGGGGCCACAGCGAGCGACGTGCCCCAGGATGGGCTGCTTCTGCACGGCCCCTTCGCGCGCAAGCCCAAGCGGATCCGCACGGCCTTCTCGCCCTCGCAGCTGCTGCGGCTGGAGCGCGCCTTCGAGAAGAACCACTACGTGGTGGGCGCCGAGCGGAAGCAGCTGGCCGGCAGCCTCAGCCTCTCCGAGACGCAGGTAATAATCACCCCCGGCCGCAGCCTGCCCTGCGTCCAGCGCGGCGCCCGGGAGCCCGGGAGGTGGGGCGGGCGGGGCAGCAGCCGCCGCGAGCCTCCGCCCCAGCCCGGCCCGGAATTCTCTGCCCCCGGGTTCCAAAAGCCACCCCCGCGGTGCTCCGGCAAAGCCCGTCCTTAGAGCCCTTTCTCTCTGGGCTGTGCTTATCCTGCTGAGACCGCAGGACTTTTGTCTAGCACAACGACCCAGCAGGAGGCAGAGTAGACACAAACCGTAGTTGAGTTGGCTCCTAATGCCCCTCTGGAGGGCCCAGGTTAGCCCAAGGCAACACACAGCCTCGGGAGCGGCCGAGCGCGCGGGCAGCACCTAGTCTACCCGAGCGAGCGGAGCAGTCTCAGCCCTGGGATTGTTGCAGCCACTCTCCCGCCGCTGCTGCGGGGGCGCTCACAGTTCCGCGGGATGACCTGGCCTTCCCAACAACTGACTGAGCTGCTGTTCCTGAGCAAACCTGGCGAAGCTTTGGCCGCCCACCAGCGCGTGTGGAGCGGGGAGGAAAATCCAGGTGTCCTCAGGCTACTAGCGTCAGAAGCAGAGGGATTGAGCTAGGAAGCCACCAGCTCCAGCTTGAGGTCCAAGAGTGGCATTGATCCCCACGCAGGCTGACAGCTGGGGCTTAGGGAACAGTGATGGGTGTATGCAGAACCTCCGAGAGGCTAGGGAGGGTGGGAGAGTGGACTGGGTACACAGGAGCTGTTGCCACAGTGAGTGCTGTCAAGTGCAGAAGGAAATAAACTCCAGTGGGGTCAGAGGGCTTTGAACTGAGTGATGTTACAATTACCATGAAGTATTTTTTTGCAATGGATAATTAATTTAAGAAACAAAATTAATGAAGTAGATGGGAGTTACTGGAAAGCTGATTTGGGTTCATTGTAGGTACTTTGCCACCAATACTACCTGAAAGCGATGTGGAAACTCCTGTCCACCCAGGGCCTACCTTCTTCTGCCCAGCTGCTGCCCTGGAGGCAGATTTTGGTGCCTGGAAACGCTTTCAGTCCCTGTCATCTCTGAGATTTGTAGATGAGAGGTGGGCTCCCACTGCCCAGCAACTCTCAGCAAACTGGCATTTCACCTTCTGCCACCCCTTCCTCCCCACTTCCCTCTCCCACACCTCCCACCCCTAGCTCAGGACAGGGAGAAGCCCCACCTTGGTTTTGGGGTCTCCCATTAGCAGATGGGTTAGGAAGGGGGTTTAGAGGGGGAGCCAGAAACCCTAACTGTACCCTCAGCTCTCTGCTGCTGACCTGACCCTCTGGTTCTCCTATTTGGTCATCGATTGCAGCCCTGTCTGATGCCCCACTAATTCATCCTCTCCATGGCAGGACCCGTTCGTATTCGGACTTGGTAGAGCTGAAGTGTCTGTTCTAACTGTAGGAAAAAAGCTTTGGAAGCAATGAAGTGAATTTTAAAAATGTTTTAAAGAAAATAATAAGTTGATAAAATAACACCTCTTTTCTCTCCTGGCAAACAATGTTTTAAGATTATTGTTTAAAACAAGGTGTCAACTTAAGAATGGTGTTTATAATTAACTTCATTTAAAAAGTAATATTTATTGCATTTTAATTGCAGACATGTAAGAAAACAAAACAGTTTATAATCCCACCACCCACAGATTAGCACTTGTTGAAATAATGTCATTGTTTTTAAACTTTCAATTTTTTAGCTCAGTGAGAGCATTTTTAATTAACTTTCTTTTAAATGGAATCTAGCGGCCTGTCAATATTTGTTCCTAACAATGCCAGTTAGTACATGGACTGATTGTTTCTTTTACTTTAATTATGAGATATTTCAAACATTTAGAACAAAACCAGATATAATAGTGAAATAGTTACGGCTTCATTAATGACAAGAACTCATGACTAATCATATTCCCTCTGTAAATGAGCTGGTTTTTGCATGTGATAGAATTATAGGAGGTCTGAGCCTGAGGAATCTCCTTGTGTTTGCCTATCTTTCTAGGTGAGGATCCTGAGATAGAGAGATGGACTGTGCAGAGCCCTACAGTCAGGCAGGTGCAATTTCAAATACCCACCTCCATATTAACTGTGTGACCCTAGACAAATTACTCACTCTCTCTGAGTTCTTGTTTCCTCACCCAGAAAATAGATTGTTCAATGATTAAATATGCCTAATATGAACTCAGATAATAATAATTCCTATTCCCAATCCCTTTCCTTTTCTTCATTTAAAGGAATGTGTCAAGTTAGTGACATAAGATACAAACTTAGATGTCTTCTAGGCCAGTGTTCTTCTGCCACATCCAGTCTCTAACATCAGAGTTGTCTCCTAACTCATCACTTGGATCTAAGCTGTATAATTGTCTGTCCACCTCTCTGTGTGTACGCGACAGGCTTACGTGTCCTTTTCAGCCATCAGCTATTTGTCAAGCATCAGCCCTGTGCTGTGCATCTCTGTCCATATCTACAACTGTTACTCACAATTCTCTAGTCTGTCCCTTCTAGGTAGCTGTTTTATATCCAGCCATCTATACTTGTCTGCTTTCATTAAAACCCCTGCCAAATTGGTTAATTTATATTTCCTGTTTTCTATTAATTACATGTTCTTCTTCCTAACAATAACTGCTATTTAGCCAATCCTTAGTTATCTCTTTATCATCTAGTTTGTTATATTTTTTGTGTGTCCACCATCCATCTCAAACTTCACCTCTACAGAGCTATTAGCAACTGCGGGTATATTCAGATGTCTACTAATGGCTCTCTGTCATCTCGTTGACTCTGGCTTTGTCTTCTCTTTGACTCTCAGCTCCTGTATCTGTGAGATGGAATGAAATGAATTCCAGGGTTCTCTCCAGCCTGGAGTTTCTGTGGATTATCTATATTCTACTTCTCTGTGTTTCTGTATAATCCCTCCTCTATGTTCTCAGAGACCACAGTATATCCTTTATATGTATATCCCATCCTAATATGTATCAAATCTTGCTGTTATTACTTGTTTAATTATCTCTCATGTGCAAATATCAATCTGTAAATAAGTTTAATCCATCTCTCTGGGAAATCTTAAAATACATACTCCTGGGCCTCCCCCAGCATAGTCTCTAAGGAAGTCCAGAATTGGGGGAAAAAATTAAGCAGCTCTCTGGATGATTTTGGTGAACAATAGACCTGGGCATCTCAGCTGTGGGAAGTAGAAGTCAATCCTGTCTTATTTCTCAGGGGAGCCCAGTTTAGTGCCCTGCATGAAGTAGCTGCTCAGTAAACATGCATTAAATGAATGGGAAGTTTTAAAGATTTTTTTTTTTTTCATTCCACACAGATATGAACACTAACTTTCTTAGTCATTCCCCTTGCTGTCTGCTGTCACGGCTCCCTCCCTGTCCCTATCCTATCTCTCCCTTGCATTTTTATAGATGATTTTTGATTTAGATGATGCAAACACCAGTTCATAGATAAAAGTTCTGGGAGGGTTAAGCAGTTCGGTGTGTGTGGAGTTTTGCACTCACAGAACTTTAGCATGAGGAACCAAGAGGTGAGCAGTCTGTGCTATTTTGTTGGTGTAGGCACACCCTTTAGTCGGAGGTCGGGGGATTTGTGCTGGGATGGTCACTGGGTCAACCCAAGAGGTAGAAGAAAGGGCCCTGGGCAAGAGCCAGTTCTCCCTTCTGTCTCTAATTAGCTGCTCCTTACTGCTATGGTGCAGGGCTGGAGCGTGTCCAGGAAGGCACGCATCTAAGCTTCAGTCCCAGTGGCTGGTTGGGCAGGCTCAGGCCTGTGTCACATCAGAGCCTGAGTGTGATAAGTGTGTGTGGTGTATATGAGTAACAGATGTGTGCCCACAATGTGATCGACGCCCAAAGGTCAGGTGGTATAGGTACTCATCACATGCCAGTAGGCAGTCACATGATATCATGCTGCTTGCATGCTGCTCTGTGTGTGTGTGTGTGTGTGTGTGTGTTGCGGGGTACATTAATTTTAGGGGAAATGAATGAGCAGGTTGCTGCTGCTCCTTCTGCTCTGAACAGATCAGTAGGTGTCTCTTGACCTTGTCTGACTTTGCCTTTAGCTGAGCTGTGAGGGAGAAGGGTGCGGAAATGTAATCTTGGTTTTAGAGAGTCCTCATTTAGTGGTGGAGGCTAAATGGAAAGTGTGGACACTTACAGAATGTGCACAGGATGAGTGACTGAAGTCCCCTTGAGGCCACAGCTGCGGGCTGAGGGGGTGATCAAGAAAGACCTGAATGGGCAGAAGGCTCCCAGGGAGCCTCCAATCTGGAAGGCCTGGAGAGAGGCATAGGATTCTATGTTGGAGGGAAGGATGGGGAGGGGGGCTTAGGTGGGCAGGTTAAGAAGGAGAAGGAGCTGTCAGGTCCAGATGTCATCTTGGAGCCAGAGAGCAAGGAGAGAGGTCTTGAGGGGCAGGAGTACGTGGTCATCTATCCCTGACTCTAGAGACGGTTCTTTCCCTCTGTAGGGAAAGACATGGCAAGGTGGCTCTGGGGGTCTCTTTCTGCTCTGGAATGCTCTGCCTTTTGGAGGATGGATGAGGGGAGACACCCAAGTGATGTGAATTTTAGGAAAAGTCAAGAGACCTTTGTTGCTCACCCTCTGGGTTTTGGGATGACGCATCCCTTCTCTAAGTCTTGGCTCTTCTCCAAGAATCTTTGCATCTCTGATGTTCCGGGAGTCCTGGGTGGTGGGGTGAGATGGGGGAAGGGAGATTGGTGTGATTCTGTGAGGAGCTGGGACAGGAGACATGGTCCTGAGGAGGCAGGTGAATTTTGCGATGCCTCTCTGAGAGTGAGGGTGAGGGTCCAGGGTAGGCTGAGAGGAAGAGATAAGAAAGCTTAGGAGGAGTTAGGGCTGAGGTTGGTGGGGAGTTGGAGGTGACCTGAGGTGGCTGGGGTGGGGATTGAGCTTCACATGGCATTGGCTTGACTCTAGGAGAGGAAACACTGATATGATCAAATGAGAGGAAGTGGATCCCACGGGACACGGCAGAGAGAAGAGCAGGCTGAGGGGTGACTTGATTGATGGTTTTAAGCTGCTATCTATTCTGAGGACTTTCTGTGTGTCTGAGAGTGACAGAATAAGAAGACATGCTTAAATTAAAGCAGAAGAGACAACAGGAGAACATAAGGAGGAACTTCCTAAGTCAGAATTACAAGATCTTGATTAGGATATTTGAACTCCTTGAAAGGACAGGTATTCCCCTGAAAGTAGGTGGGGACCTGGTACCACAGACCTTCGTATTCGCCACAGGATAAGGTTGGAGGAGCAGAGGAAAAGGAGGGGTCTAGACCTCCCCCGTTCAAAACAGGACATTATGCAAAAAATGAAGCTCTGAAACATTGGCTGGGGCTATAATTTGCTTGTTTTCTGTTCATTTGTCTAATCTTTCACGTGTTAATACACATGCTTCATTTCTAATGCATACATTGACCATCCCCTATTGAACTGATATGTTCATTTATCCACAGGAATTTCAGCTCCTTGATCCTGTCTGACTCAGGCCTGAGCCTTGTCCCTCTGAAAAAAATATGGGTCTCCCTCCCCCCAACTCCCCCTGGAAACAGTAAGTCCAGTTTTCCACATGGAAAATTAGGAACCAAACCTCTTATAAAGTGTCCATGAACCTCCCATCTCTCCAGCACGCAGCACTTCCCAAACACCTTTTCTGATTAGACTTGAATCTTTTTTCTATTGATGTTCTATTTTCCAGGTATGGCCCTGGAACCTCTTGCCTGAGTGAGCCCTGGGCGAGGTGGCACCTCACCTCAGTCCAGCTGGACAGCCACACATGGAACAGGTCTTCGGGTGGGGCCAGCTAATAGACTGCTTGGTTCTCCAGATTCCCATAGACTGCTGAGAAGATGGAGATGTGAATGAGTAGAGGAGTAGGCAGCTGGAGGTCTCTGTTACTGAGACAGTGGAAAAGCACCAAGAGGGAGCAGGTCCTGTGTAGGACCATCTGAGTAGCATCCTGAAGGTCAAGTGAGAGTACGCCAGGTCTGGTAACTCAGGCAAAAGTGGAGAAAGTCTTAGAAGGATCTGGCTTCACTAAGAAACAGAGAGCCACTCAATGAAGGGAGAGATTTGGGAGACCACAGACCCCGCCCCCCCCCAACCCAGAAACATCACACTGAGCAAGAGAATCGTCATTCTTTTTTTTTGTTTTTTCCCTCAGTACAAGGGATTGAACCAGGGACGCTCAATCGCTGAGCCACATCTCCGGCCTTTTTTTGTATTTTCATTTTGAGACAGGGCCTTGCTAAGTTGCTGAGGCTGGCTTTGAACTTGCCATCCTCTTGCCTCAGCCACTGGGATTACAGGTGTGCGCCATCACACCCAGCAATCATTCTGACTGTCTTTGGAGCTAAGAGAACGAATGTGTTAGTGTTGGGGTGGGAAGGCACATGCAAAATAGGTGCAGCCTCCTAGGGCCTGCTGCCTTGAAGCTGATAGCCACACCATGTGACCTGCTTTCCGGCTAGGTCCTCTGTCCTCTAGAGGTGTCCTCAGAGTCACCTGGTTGGATTAGGAAGAGTGTGAAGTACACTCTCATCTCCTATTGTACTCAGTGCCCATTCCCTTCTTTTTTTCTTTCCCTCCAAGTAAAAAATAATTATTGTTACATCAGTAATGCATTCTAGAAAATTCAGAAGTAAAACGAAGAGAGAAGAGTCAGCCATGGTTCGGGTACATTCCCTTCTAGTCTTTCTCCCCATGTGTAGATTTTGTTTTCCATGGTTGTGACCACACTGTGCCAGTGCTGTGCATCCCGGCTTTGTCACTAGCATTATGAAGTCATCAGCGTCCCCCTGTTATTACAGTCTTTGTAAACAGCATCTGGACACTCAGTCCAAGGCTGTTCTCCGGAAGATAGCTGGGCTGCTTAGGGAGAGGGTTGTGTCCTTGTTTCTCAAGACCTGCCTCCTTGACCCCAGGATTTTCATGGAGAAAAAACACCTCCACTTGGTGTGCCAGGACGCGGCCCCTGGCCTGAAAACGTGTCCTCCTGTGCCTGCAGTTAGTTCTACCATCAGCACGTCCCTCTTTGGCCAGGGTTGCTGGAAAGGTAGCATGGCCGGGTCTAAGCCACTGGAGGTCAGGGTGATGGTCAGACTCCTTTCCAGAAGGAGATTTAGGAGGTGTGGGGAGAAAGGTGCAGAAGGGGCCTCTGTCTCTGGTGTTGTCCACCATCACCTGGTAATCACCCTCGGCTAGCCCACTTGGGCTTCTCAGAAATGACACCCCAGCCTTGTATCCAGCCCTGAGTCACACACAGGAGGCAGGGTGAGCTCACCCACCCACTGGCTGGCACAGTCACAGCAGGCTCTGGGGTGGAGGGCAGGGACTGGGCTGGCTGCCAAATGGTTGTGCTGAGAACCGACCAGGGCTTGGGTGGCCCTGTGCCCAAGGAGAGGTGGGCATGGAATCCAGAAACCCTGTGTCCAGAGCAACTGCCATCCTCCAGTCTACCTGAAGTGAAGTGTGCAGGCTACTGATTTGAACCTGCCCTGGAAATGGAGAAAGTAGCCCCTCACCCTTGCTCCATCCATTGCAGCCGTGCACCTTGTCTTCCGGGACAGTGATTGGGCCCTGTTGCCCCACCTCCACCCTCATGCTGTAAGACCAAGGGGGCAGGGCAGAGGGTCCAGGGGAACCTGGAAAGAGGAGGTCGTGCGGTGGACCCTGTAGCAGGGAGTTCCATGGAGGGGACAGAGAGGAGCATTTGGGGAGGGTGTGCGAGGGTGGCATGTCCTGGGCATGAAACCATCCTCAGGATGCTCCCCTCAGCAGTCACTGCTGCTGTCCAAACTGAGGTGCTCACTGCACTCCATGCACATGACTTACCCATGCCACCTGCACAGCTACAGTTGCCAGCACCGGGTGCTTTTATTGATTTATTTTTGGGGGACACTGGGGCTTGAACCCAGGGGTGCTTCACCACTGAGCTACATCCCCAGACCTTTTTATTTTTTATTATGAGACAGGGTCTTGCTAAATTGCTGAGGCATGCCTCAAACTTGCTATCCTCCTGCCCCAGCCTCCCAAGTTGCTGGGATTACAGGCACACACCACTGTGCCTGGTCCAACTTGCTTTTAGATGTGCTGACATTTCCAGGAAACGCTCCATGCCTTGTGAGCCTGCCCTCTCTGCATCCCCTCCCCCAGGGACCTCTGGGTCCTGGGCTCAAGAGTCCAGGAGGTGCCCTGGAGTTGCATTGGTTCCAAAAAACATTCTTCCTGTGGACGAGGGACTTAAGCCCAGAGAGAGAAAGGGGCTTAGCCAAGGTAGGTACCCAGGCTCCTCCTGCCAACTAGGAGGAGGGTTCGGGTTTGGCCCAGCTCTGCAGGGCCAAAGAAAGAAGCTCACAGTCAGGTGGAGTTGGTGGACAAAGGCTTTCTCTACAAGGCACAGGCCAGGATGCTCCCAGGTACCACCTCTCGGGTTGCATATGGGAGAATGTGAAGGGCTGCATCCTGGACCCTGAGTAAACACTGAGGGAGGAGGACGAGGGCGATTAGAGCTAGGATAAAACCAGGAAGGGTTCCTGGGTGGTTTGGAAGCGCGACTTGCCTGCCCCTCTGCAATGGAGATCCTTTGTCCAGCTTTGGTTTGAGCCCCATCTCTCCTCTTGTCGGGGTTCTCACTGCCTGATGCAGTGGGGAGCTCTCTGTGTTCAAATAGGAGTCTACTATAGTCCCCAGGATTTCTCCTGTTTCTTGTGCTACCTGTTCCCACAGCAGGACAGGGCCAGTGCTGTGGGAGTGGGAGGTCCAGAGCTGATCCTGAAGGGCAGAGCGTTGCCCTGATGTGGGGCCTCACACATGCCTCCTCCCACCCTGTCTGTCTAAGGAGGACAAGGGCTCAGTGGTAGATTTCAGACTACCCCAAGGACCTGGCACTGAGAGGCCAGGGCTCCCCACTGCCTAGCTCCAGCCTGCCCAGCTCCACTTCTAATGTGTGTGTGGGTGGGGGCTGGCAATTCCACCAGAGGCTGCAATCAAGGGTCCCCTGATAAAGGAGATGCACAGGAGGTGGGGTAGAGCCTCTAGGGGTGGCTCCGTGACCCTAGGAGTGGCCTGGCCATCCCGTGCCCTGCTGTTGGTGTGGAAACCATATCTAGGTTAGGAAGCCTCTTTGTGCAGTGGAGAGCTCAGGGCCAGCCACGGGAGGGAGTCAGCTTGAACCTGCTGGGACCCACATGGTGACTCACTCCACCCCAGAAAGCAGCGATCGATCGTTCTCTTCTCTCTCAGTCGGTAGCACCAGGTCTGCTGCAGGGCTTTGCCTCTGCTGTGGTTGCAGGGACCAGGATGCTCAGTGGCTCCACACCCCATCCCTTGCCTGTGAGAGGGACCAGAATATGTCCCCCTCACCAGCCCAGAGTCCTCTTCCGGCCCCATCTCACTTGCCCTGGAAGAGCAGTTCTCCAGACCCATCAGGTGGCAGCTGTCCCGAGGAGAGGACCCTGGTCTGTGAGCCCTGACCCTGCGTTTCTCCAGCTGCCTCCCAGCTCACGTGAGCGCTCAGGCCCCGGCTGCTCTGGGGCTGCTGGGTGTTCTCATCTGTGCCTCTCCCTCCTGGCCCAGGTGAAGGTGTGGTTCCAGAACCGGAGGACAAAATACAAACGACAGAAGCTGGAGGAGGAAGGGCCTGAGTCCGAGCAGAAGAAGAAGGGTTCCCACCACATCAACCGGTGGCGCATTGCCACGAAGCAGGCCAACGGGGAGGACATCGATGTCACCTCTAATGACTAAGGGAGCACCCACGAACCCATGAGGGCAGAGTGCTGCTTGCTGCTGGCCAGGCCCCTGGGGGGCCCAAGCTGGACTCTGGCCACTCCCTGGCCAGGCTTCAGGGAGGCCTCGAGTCACGGCCCCACAAGGCTTGGAGTCTGGGGCCATCACAGACAGAGGGACAAGAAATGGGCTGGCTGAAGCCTGGGACTGCTCAGCCTTCTCCTGGGAGAGCCTGCCTGCCTGGTGGGCCGCCTGTCACCGCAGCCCCCGCTGCTCTCCATTTCTCTTATCTCCTTTTTGTTTTGATGTATTTCTGTTTTAATTTATTTTCCAGGCACCTGCTATAGTTCTTAGTGATCCCCTTGTGTCTCCCTTCCCTATGGGAATAATAAAAAAGTCTCTCTCTAATGACACAGGCATCCAGCTCCAACCCAAGAGCCTGGGGTGGTGGTTTCAGCTCTGGGGATCAGTGGGGGCTGGCAGGGCGAGTTAGCCCAGGGCCTGGGATTCTGCAGCAAGTGATTGGACGGGGCAAGGGCAGTCCATTCAGTGCTCTCCTTTGGAAATGGTTGACCCTGGTCTCTTAACCTGGGCTCCACGGCAGGAGCAACTGAATGCAGACATAGGGCAGGGCTACCTTGTGTTTTGAGGAAAGCTAGGTCCAGGTTTTTCCAAACTCACTGAAGCGTGGGAATCAGGCCCAGGTAGCTCCATGGGGAGGAAGAGAGGTTTCCCATAGTTAGAGATGCTGGTGACTTCTGCAGTTGAGGAGAAACGAGAAGGAAGGAGTCACACAGTGCTGAACCAGCCCTCAGTCCTGGCCCCATACGGATGCTCCTGTGTCTTTAAAGAACCCCTGGGCAGGTTATGGCTTAGAAGCAGAGCTCAAGGCTGAGCCCACACCAGTGCCCAGGGCTCAGGGCCTTCCCCAGCCCCAAACACACAAGACAGGTCTTGCTGAGCTCTTTTGTCCACCTGTCTTTCAGTTTGTCCATTTGTCCTTTCTACTTGTACATTAAAATTTCCTTCATCCTGGAAAAAGAAAACTGTGTTCCTAACAATCTTCCCCTCCTAACATCTAGTTCTGTCCCCATTTCATTCCCCCATGTGTCCCCAGCCCTCTGTTCCTTGGCCTCTGCACCAGCTCTCTACTGATGTAAAGGACAGTTGCCAACCACAGTCACTGGTCTCTCCTTTGTGGCCAAATTCACCTGCTCCCGTCTGAATTCACCTGTTCCAGATCTGCTGGCCGCGCCCTGGTTGACTCCTTCACCCCTCTGCCTTCATTCTGGTCTCTCTGATGCCGCATCTGGTATCTCTTGAGTTCTCCCCAGTTTCACCCAGGCCTCATGGATTCAGTCCACCCGAGGTCCATCTTTGTTCCTCCTGCCTCCTCATCCCACCCTCTGTGCAGGGGTTCACACCCACTTCCAGTACTTCTCTTTGGCGGGCTCCATGTGGGCTCACTGAGCTAGCTGCCTGCTGCACCCAGGCCCCTGAGCACCATAGACCCAGCATGTTCACAGATGGACTCATGTCCCCACCCGTTCTCCTCCGGGGTTGCCCACCTCAGCAGGCCGCATTAGCCATGTACACTGTTCCCCAAGGTAAATGAGTCCCGGGAATCTTCCTCAAGCTCCTTCCCCTTCTCCCCAGCCCCTCCACGGTTGAGTCTACACTGACTTCCTAGCCGTATCTCCTCAGTGCAGGGGTCCTCAGCCATCTCTCCCACTGGCGAGGCCCCACCTGCTCTTGTGTGGGAAGTGTGGACAATCCTGTGGCTTCTGTGAATGTCAAGGATGAAGTTCACTTTGAAGGAGGCCCTCCACACTACAGCCAGGATCCTCTTCCTCCTGCCCAAACAGGATGGTGTCTCCTCTTAATTCTGTCCCCGGCTCCCTTCCCACCCTCGGCTTCTCCTACTTTCTCCTGGTGTGGTCCTCTGCTTTGGTTCCACCTGTGCCTGCCCCTGAGTGAGCTGTGGCTTTCCACTGTGCTGTGCCTTTACTATGCTCTTGGTGAGCATCCTGTGGGTGCTTAATCAGTGTTGAGCTCACTGGGAAGATGTCAAGGGCCCAGTCTTGTTGCCTGGGCCGTGTGCAGAGATCCAAGTACTCAAGGTCCTTCTGCAGAGAGCACAGACCCCAGGTCCTGCTGGGCCCTGGTGCATCCCTTTCCCCTCTTTGCCCACCTCACTTGTATTCAGTCAGTGCTAGAAACCAAAGGGCTTCGTCCCATCCCTGTGCCTCTGCCACCCCCTCCATCAGCCAGGAAGGCATCCTCCACATCTGGAAAATCCAGGTTAAACCACACAGTGGCTCTCTCACCGACGGGCAGGTAGGCATGGCGGGGAGGGGGCATGCATGCCCAGGTGGGGTGAGGGCTAGAAGCATCCTTTTGGTCCCAGTGGGGGGCAGAGGAATGGATGAGTGGTTCTCTCGAGATCCTGTCTCACTTGTTGGGAGGAGGGGTCCAGGAAGATTACAGCAGAGCACCCCCTGTCAAGCAGATAAGGGGCTGGAAAGAACCCAGGAAACCTGCCAATCTTCCTAGCCAGGCCTGCGGGGCGGGTTGGGGAGTCCCCGCTGCAGTCCCACCATCCCCCATGTTGTGCCTCTCCCGCAGACGGTAAATATTGGTGTTGTGACTTCATTAATAAAGGCTTCTGTGAGCCTGAAAAACATGGAATCAGGATGAACTATTTTCTGAGCTGCGGGCTTTGCCAGGTTTGCTAATTTGGGAGTTTTTGGGCCCTCTCCAGGGAACAAACCAAAGTCTCTCTCGAAGAGACGCAGATGCAGCCGAGAAGGGGAGAAGACAAGGACTGCTGCTCCCTTCTCTCCCCTGAGGGCCCCTCCCACCTGAAGAGCAGGCCCTGCAGAGGGTGAGGCCCGAGGACACTGGCCTGCTGGCTTCCTCAGCCTTTGGGAGCTGCTGGGACAGGCCTTCCCTGAGTGAGCCTGGTTGGCCTTTTCCCCTCAGCTGGGCTGGGCTGGACCGGCAGCCTGTGGCCCTGCAGAATGACCGCTGACCGCTGTGAGCACCTGTGATAGCTCTGAGTTGCACGAGGTTGAAGCACAGGGAATTGTCCTTAACTCTGTGGTTGAGTCCATGGGCCTCGCCTTCAAGGAACCATCCGCACACATCCTCTTGTTCTCAGAACTTTCTGGGATGGGTCCCCAGGGCCTCCAGGGTAGCAAGGCGCATGTTCTTAGCATCTCCGCATCTTCATGGCCACTTTCTTCTCACAGGTGCTGTGATCGCTTCTCACAGGGCATCCAGCAGCCCTGGCCATCTCTGTTCAGGAGGGAGCCCCACGGGCCTCTCCTGGACCCCTGCTGCAGGGCAGCCTCGCAGGGGGAGGGGCAGGGAGGCCAGCAGGCTGAGCGGTGCAGGCCCAGCCAGCTTTCCTGTCAGACGGCGCTGCCAAGGCGGAGCCAGACATCGGAACAGGTTTAACCAATTACCCGAGCGCCCCATCTGCTGTCTGGGGTTCGTGTGAGGGTGAGTGCATGTGAGGGTGTTTGGAGTGTCTGGGAGGGCTGTGGGCGTGCGCGAGAGTGTGACTGTGTGGGTGTGTGTGGGCGTGCGGCTGTGCATGCGTGTGTGTTGCGCACGTGTGCAGTGTGTGGCTTCATGTCCTGGTCACACCCCCTCATGCGTCCAAGACTGTGGCTAGCAGCTTATGCTCTTCCTGCTCCCCTCCAGGACTTGGGGATGAAAGACGACCCTCCCTGCACCCCAGCCTCTCAGTGCCTCCTCCCCTCGTCACTGCTCACTCTCAGGGCTTGTGAGAGCTGGGACTGGGCCTTCTCTCAAATCCCACATTCAGACATCCTTTCCTGTCCCACCACTAGTCACCGGCTCTCCTCTTCATCAGTGCAGGACCTGCAGGAGCTCCTGGCCATGGCTCCCCCTGTTCTCTCTCCGACAGGCTCTTGTCCCACTCTTCCTTGGCTGTACCTGCTTAGCAAAATCAAAAGCCTGCCTGGACCTGTTTCTGTTCACCTTTGCACCTGACTCCAGCCTCCGGGGTCCCAGTCTCAGCTGAGGCCTCACTCCTGTTGATAGGGCCACCCCCACTCTCCACAGGGGAGGTCTCGACTGTCGCCCTTCTCTCAGACCTCCCTTCCCTCTTACTCTCAGCAGAGAACCTTACTTCCGTCTTCAGATTGAAGAGGCTAGAGGGAACACCTCCGCGACAGTCAGAGTTTGCCTTTGTACAGGGCAATTGGGGAGAGTTTAATACAGGAACGATAAACAAATCTGGGACGTGTACAAGGGATATTGCATTACTCTGAGACAGGAAACAGTGGGGATCCTGTATGGCCCTTAGGCCTAAAGAGGCGGGAGCAGTGGCCAGAACCTGGAGAGGACAGCTCGGCTGGAGAAGGCCCCAGACAGAAGATGTGACCTACAGTAGAGAGAAGCCCTCTCTAGGATAGATCCCCAACTCACTCCTCCAATCTTCTAATTTCCCTCTGGTGGCTCCCAGGGGTGAAAGCTAGACAGCCAGTCCAGATAAGCCCATCCCCCACTGAGTTCACCTCCCAGGCCTGAGCAGGTAAAGGTTGCAGGTGGATCTCAAGGGGCCTCACCCTCAACTCCCACCATACGCACATGGCATCATCGTCCCTACCTGCATCCTGTCACTACCAATGACCTTTCTCTCCTGGCGCATTAGGACCCCAGATCCTACCTGCCTTCCTGGTGGGCTTGTCCTGCTCTTCCTCTTGACTGCCTTCACAGTCTCTTCTGATTCATGTCCAAGAGTCTTCCTTCGAAAGCCTTAACCCATGCCATAGCCATAGCCATGTTTTCCTGCCCAATTCACAACCACATTTCTTTCAAGAATGATCTCTGCAGCAGGGGGCCTCCTGACTTCTCAACACTCCACGGGAATCGTTCTCTCCAGGCTTCTCGAGGGACCCACCTTGGTCTTCATGTTCTTTGGACTCTCAGCGCCAGCTACATACATGGACAACTCTCCTGGGTAGCACTATCATGTCTTGTCCCTTGAGGACACCACACTCTTCTGGTCTTCCTCTTACCTCTTGCTTTTGATGTACTAGAGCTGCCACCACAAAGCACCACAGACTGGGCGCCTGAGACAACCAAACTTTATTGTCTCAAACTGGAGGGTAGACTTCAGAGATGAAGGTGTCTCAGGGTGGGTTTCTTCTGGGGCCACTCTCCTGGGCTTGTGGACAGTCACCTGCACGTTGACATGTCTCCCTCACTTAGCCTAGGTCTGTGTCCTGATCTCTGATAGCAACATCAGCCATATTGGATTAGGGTTGGCCCTTGGGACCTCATTTTATAATTACCTCTTTTTAATTTTTTTATTGGTGCATTATAATTATACATAAGAGTGGGACATGTTATGACATATTCATACATGGACAAAACATAGCAATATAATTTGGTCAATTTCAATCCCCAGTATCCTTTTCTCAATCCCTTTCTCGCCCCTTTCTCCACCCTCAGTCTACTGGTCTTAATTACCTCTTTAAGAACTCACTTCCATATAGTCACATTCTGAGGTCCTGGGGGTTGGAACTTCAGCATGTGACTTTTGGGAGGACACAGTTCAGCTCTGCCTGGGCCTCAGAGTCAGGTTCTGTAGGATGCCATCCCATGTCTTTTTTTTTTTAATATTTATTTATTTTTTAGGTGTAGATGGACACAATACCTTTATTTTTATGTGGTGCTGAGGATCGAACCTGGGTCCCGCCCGTGCTAGGCGAGCGCTCTACCGCTGAGCCACAATCCCAGCCCCCAGGTCTTTTCTTACCCACATGCCATCCCCACTCCCTGTGCTCTCTAGAAATGAATACCATGCAAGTCTATATCCCCAGTCCCTTCCTGTCTCCTGATGTCCCCACTTGATTATCTCACAGGAACCCCTATGAACTTGTAAAGGAGAGGGCTCCACCCTCCCTGGGATCCTTTCTTCCTTCTCTGTTTAGGCTTGGGGAAATGACACCCTCTTCCTCAGCTACCAGCAGGTGCCGGTCACCAGTAGAACCTCTTTGCTTCTCTCCAGCCCCATCCTCCCCATGCTGGCCCAGGTCCCCGCCTTCCCCATGGTGACTACCACAATGGCCCTACCACAATGGCCCCTGCCTGGTCTCCCCAGCAGCCTCCTTTGTATCCATTCTCTCCTCCATGCTCTGGTCCGATGAAGCCACTCGCTAATGAAGGCCTCAAGCTGTCTGAAGCTGCTGCCCCACCCCTCTCTGCCATGCTCACTTGCATTTGAAGAGGAGGAAAGCCAACATCAGGTGGCATGGGACTGATGGCGGTCCCCACCTCCCCACTTCCTTACTGGATTTGTATGGGATCTCCAAGGAGGGAAGGGATCTTGTGCCTGTCTGTCCATTTTTTGTCCCTTCTGTTCTTTTTTGGTTCTCCTCTGTCTTCCTACCCCTTCATAAGGCCTAGGGAACTGCAATGGGGCCCCAGGTTCTTGCTCAGGCTGAGGAGATGTCCTTGTCAGGAAGGAGGCAGGTGATGAAGGAACACTGCTTGCCACTGCCCCAAGGGACAGTACTGTTAGGAAAGGTGGGCATGTGGGGGAATGACTGAGACACTTGTTTGAGGGGCTATCCAGTGGCTGGGGATGACTGAGATGGCAGGAGCAGCAGCAGCCCTGAGGGACTGATGGAGCCTCCTTTCTGAAAATGAGGCCAGGTCCCCAGGGCCTCAGGAAAGGGTCACTCACCACAGCTCTAACCACAGTATTCTGAATCTTCTTGTAGCCTTTGCCTGAGTGGGAGGAGGGCGGGATGGAGGGCAGAGGAGACCGCATTCCTAGAGTGTTAATGATCTCCGGGCTGGGCAGGAGCTGAGCCCCTAAACCAGCTTAAAACAACAAACAGCTCCCAGGAGGGATTTGTGTCTGTCCTGAGAGTCAAGGATTTCCGCCCGCCCCGGATGGGAACTGTGGCCTGTGGGGCTCTTAGCAAAGAAATTCCCCAGAGACCAGAAGCCCCCTGACCTCAAGGTATCACTTTGAGAACAGACCCCACCCCCTTCCCCTCTCCCTCTCTCCTAGGGAGGGAGGCCTAGCACCTAGGAGGGGAGGCAGCACCTCCACCCACCCACCCTCACACCTACACACTCGCGCCCATTCTTCATCTGGACTCTCCAACCTTCCAGCAGGCTAGCAAGGGCCCTGTTCTTGGCATTTGGTAGATAAGACTCAGTTACAGAAATGCCCGCACAGAAAAGATGCCCAATCCACATCTTTCCGAATGAATGGGTGAATAAGGAAGTCACTGGCTAGGAGTCACAGTCATGCTGGGCCACACTGGGGCTGAACGAGGGTCTGTCTGACCCCAACCATGATGGTTTTTCTCCCCTTCCTGTTCCCCACCCTTCATTGGCTTCTCTCTGCAGGACTGGAAGAATCTTGGAGTCCCAGGCCAGGCTTCCTTTACGGGGGACCTCTGAGGGCTGCTTGGAAGAGGAGCCGAGGCTATTAGGAGGCTGAGTCCTGGCTGCAAGGGATCTTGGAAGTTATTATGAAGGGTAGATTTCCTAGAGCTGGTATCATGTAGGTGGCAGACATCTGCATCTTTCCACTCAGCTCAGACCTTCCTCCTCCCTGTGGGCAGACTCCCTGTGGCCCCCTCAGCTTCCTCCACCAGCCTCTTGGAGCACAGAAGCTACTGGAATTCCTAAGGTACTCAAGTTCCTTGGGTGCGTCCCTTCATGAGCACTCGATAGCTGCTCTGCAAAGGGGATCCTTCTGCAGTTTAACCCACCCCCTTTTCCCATTTTCCTTCCTCACTTGGCCTTTGTCCTTTCCCGTCCCCTTCTCTCTGGGTCTTCTTTGGACCCTGGGTCTACACCTTCCCACACAATCCTCAAGCAGCCCTTCACCCTTTCCCGCTGTGTTTCCGTGCTCCCACCCTTCCCGACATAATTCACAAAACCACACTCCGATGCTTTAAATCCATCGTTTATTGCCCACAGTTCATTAGTATTACATAAATCACACAGATTGAGAAAATTTCTGAGAAGGTTAAAAAGACACTGTAAAGTCCCCTGGGTGTGCTGAGGCACGTGGGTTGGGGCCTCACTTATGCCCACCCAAGGCTGGAAGACCACCTTAGATCTTCCACTGGCTCTTCTTCTCATGACCCTCACCCTTCTCCCAGGCCAGAGACTCAGAACAGGATTGGGAAATGAATAGGGGTCTGGTGGCCATCTTTACTTGGCAGCCATCTTGACATCTTGGGCTTTTGCCTCCTGCACTCTCAGATTGCTTTCCAGAAATGGGAGAAGGGCATCCCCAAGCCTGAGGGGATGTTTGAAGTGATCAGAGGGGTTTGGGAAAGGACACCAGAGCTGCAGATGTGCCCTGTATTCCAGCAAAGCTGGGCCAAGTTTACCCAAACCAACCTGCCCCACCCAGACCTCTCTCCTCCGGCCTCATCAGAGTTGGGTATGGGAATTAGCAGAAAGTTTCCCTCTATGGAGGTTTTTTTGAAGCCAGACTAGGGCTTAGCAGCATGGCCCACTGTCCTTCTGTCCCCATCACCTTGAGCTGTGAGGATCCTTTACCACTGCACCCCTATGGGAACATCTTCCTTAGCTCATATGAAATTGCATTTGAGAGCTTGATGCAAATCATCCAGGTAAAAGGCATGTAAGTTATGAGAGGCCGAGGCCACAGGAACAGGGCAGGGTGAGGTTGGGCAGGGGCAACCAGCACAGGGGAACTGGAAAGGCTTCATCTCTGGCCTCTAGAGGGAATATGGCTTGGGAGGCAGTTTTGGTCCCAAGATAAAGTGCACGAGAACAAGACCCTATGACAAGTGGGGGCAGGCTGAGCTTGCAATGAGCTCTTCAAAAGAGGACTCAAACACGCCCTGCCCCGTCCATGCCTAGAAGCCAGCACAGCGCAGCAGTCATTGGCATGCTCACATTATAACAGGATTGGCTCAAAAATATTTCCCCCTCCAGCCCATCCTCAGCCATGCCCCCCCCCCCCATGCTGTTCTGTCCTCCCTGCTTGCCCATGTCTTCCTCCTATCCTGAAGAGCAGACGGGTGGGATGCTCCTCAGGAGAGTGGTGGGCGCTCAGACAACATCCTGCAGAGCCAGCTGCTGGTCACCAGGGGCTGGCTGGCTGGGGGGCAAAGGCACCATGGCTTCTGGGTGGGAACATGCTGTCAATGCCCATGAGAGACCCCCTTCATCAGACACCTGCCCTAAGTTGCTGAGAAGCCATCTACGGCCACGCTCTTGAAGTTTTGCAGAGGCTCCAGCCCAGATCCCCACCAAGGTGGAGTCACCAGGGGATGGAGGCCCAAAAGCTGCACATTGGCAGCTTCCATCCTTGAGGGGGTCGGGGGTGGGGGGGCACACTGAAGCTGGTGTTTCCCCTTCCTTTGGGTCTTTCAGACAAGGAGTCACCTTGCTTAGCCCCCACCCAGGTCCTGCTTCCCTCTGTAGAACTCTCTCCTTGTCCTTGGCCTGCAAAGGAGAAGGAGAGGGGAGCTAGCAGCCAGGGGCCTCAGGCTGCAGAGCTGAGGAGTGGCATGCAAGTGTGGCCCCCCACACAGACCCAACCATCCATACTCTCTCCTCCTCCAGAACTGCCAAGTTTTTGGCAAAGGTCAAGTGCTTCCAAGATGTGGGATCACACACAGAAAGGCAAGGTCCGATTTCTGAGGCCATTCCAAGGGGCCTCCCCCTTTCCCAGTCCAGTGTCCATACTGTGCATGTGCTCAGGATGACCATTACCTGAGCAGGACAGGAAAAGACAAGCTGGAAGAATGAAGGGCACCCCTTGGTCCAGTCTTTTGCTTCTGGGCAAGGAGGGGAGGCCAAGGGAAGGGAGTGAATTGCCCAGAGTCACACGGCCCATTGGTGCCAGAGCTGGGGCCCACCATTCCTGGGTTGATGCTGTCTCTTAGATGGCTCCCAGGGATCTGGCCTTGGCACTCTCAGGCACGAGACCCTCCTACTCAGGAAGTGGTGGAATGTGACAGGCAGCGTCAATGGCTGGAGATTCCCTGGACAGCAGCTGGACCAGCTCCAGCCCATCCTCAGCCCCAGCACCCAGCCTCCAGCATGTGCCTGAAAGGGGACCCTCCTGTAGAGGCCGGTGCAGGTGCGTGGTTCCTGCACTGGAAGCATCATTCCTTCCTTGGGCTTTCTGCCTGGAGCTGGGGTCCCCTCGGGGGACTGGAATCAGTGAGAGCTCCATCAGGGGGACCCTAGCCCCACCATCACTGGCTTTTTGGCAGAGGGATTGGTTCTGCAGCTGGAAAATGAAAAAGAGCTGGCCACTTTCAGAGCCTGCTGCCCAAAGAATCTCCAGTGCTCCTTGACTCCCTGGGTCTAATTCCTGAGGACCTTCAACATGGCTAGTTCCCATCCTGTGGGGTACAAACCAGCTCCCCTTCTTCCCCCTCTCCAGCCTGAGGAGTCATCTGGCCTGGCCACTCTGATATCCTAAATCTACCAGCCCAACTACCAAACCAACCCGGTTCCTAGGCTCCCATCATTTGTCCACCTGCCACTTCTGGTCACCTGCAACCAAGGCTCAGACTTAATTCTGATTAAAAAAAAAAAGAAAGAAAAAGAAAAAAGAAACCAATGTATAAAAGGATCCTAATTTTACCCCATGGGCATTCTGCAGTTTTCCAGTTTCATACATAATTGTGCTGAGTGGAGTTTCCACAACCCCACATAAGGCCCAGAAATGCACTTGATTCTTTTGTATAGGAAATGTGTCAGAATTCCTCTCCCCTAAGTTAAAATGTGAATGGATTAGTCTCCCTACCACAGTGGGTTGAGTGTTCCCCCAGGTGGCCCAGGACTGTGGGGTCCACCTGCAGGTGCAGCCCACCAGACTCCTTCCCTGCCCCCAAATTCCCTGGCCTGGACAAAGCTCTGTCCCCAGGCCAGCCGGCCACCGCTCACAGCCCCTTGTTATACACCACCGTCCGGCTGCTTGTAGCCCGGGCGATCTCAGGCTCTAACTGGGAGGTTTCGATCTGAGGAGAGAGAGAACAGAAAGATGAATGGAGAGACTGGGAAAGAGGAGGCTGGAGTAGCAGTTAAGACCATGCTGGTGCCCACAGTTTTGCCCTTCTGCGCCCTCCACCTCCGGGTCCACGTGTCCTGCCTGTTTTCCTTCCTTCTCCACGGTCTTGCCACCTTGGGGCTCACATATTCCTTCCAGCTCAGGTCTGGCATCTTCATTCTCATTATATGTCCATGTGGTAAAACATCCCTCCCCTGGTCTCTGAGCTCTGGGTCTCCCTCATCTCCAAGGCCCTTGTCCCTCACACTGCAGACAACTGTTCTCAGGGTGTCGCCTGGACCTGCTCACCCAGGGCTGCTCCACCCAGTCTCCTCAAACCCAAACCCTGCCCTCTCAGCTCCATGGTCCCCTACCCTGGTGGTATCCCACCCCTTCTGCTCCTCTATGCTTTTAGACAGCAGAGGCCGCCAGTCCCAGACTCCCCACCTCCCAGTTTTCACATCCTTCCCTTCAACCTGGACATCAGGAAACATCATTTCAGCTACTCCCCAAACCAAGCCCTGACTGGTGGAGGCGCCCGACCATGTGCCCACCATCTCCACACTTGGACCTGACCACCTAATGGAACCACTCAAAGCTCACCGTCCCTGACTTTGGCTGGGCCATCACAGCAGCTGGCAACAGCACCCCCACCCCTGCTCCTGCCTGGTCACCTCCCTCTCCCACAGAGGCCACCTTAACCCTTCCCTCTTTTCCTCTGCCATCCCATCTTCAGATCCACACTCCTGAGCTCATGAGTCTTCTAACTGCAGGGGAAAGATCAAAGGCATCAGAAGGGAACCACTCAGTTCCCCACTGTCAAACCCATGGCTTCCTGGTGTCCACCCTGGCTCCCACCTGCCCTCCTGTGCCTCATGGCAGCCATCCTGGCCCTCAGAAGGCAGAGCCCCACCTGGCACCACCTCCCTCCAGTCCCTGAGGCAGCTGGGTCCCAGCTCCTCCCTCTTTCCCACCTTCACTGCCTATTAGCACCTCCACACAGGACAAGAACCTTCCATCTGAGGAAAGTTCTCCTTCAACCGAGGCAGGCTCCACTACTACCTTGGCTCCCTTCCCTGGCAATCACATTTGCTTGAAGAATTGCCTAAACCAGTGGTATCCACCTCCTCACCGCCCACTGACTTTTCAACCTACAGTAAATCTGGCTTCTGTTCACCACCCTCCACAAAATCTTCCTCTCCACGGTCACTTTCAGCCCTCACTGCACAACATCCACTGGATGCTTCTTAGGGTCTTTGGGTCTCAGTGTGACTAGACGCCCTGGGTGACTTCCACATCTGAGGTGTCTCTTCCCAAGGTTCTCCCCCGAGCATCAGGCCCACAGCTGCCTGCTTGGCTTCTCAGACTTTCTATGGACATCTCAAAGGCACATGAACTCAACCCATTTAAAATGGAACTGAGGCCAGGTGTGATGGCGCATGCCAGTAATCCTAGAGACTCGGGAGGCTGAGGCAGGAGGATCCGCAAGTTCAAAGCCAGCCTCAGCAATATAGCAAGGCCCTAGGCAACTCAGTGAATGCTGTTTCAAAATAAAGAATACAAAAAGGCTGGGGATGTGGCTCAGTGGCTAAGCACTCCTGAGTTCAATCCCCAAGGCCAATAAATACAGAAAATGGAATGGAATCCACCGTCTCCCTGGCCCCACCCAGGCTCGCCATCTCTGATAATGGCACCACCACCTAATGGTGGTCTGGACAAAGACCTTGGGGCCCCAAGCCTTCTCTTTCCTTCCCTTCCCCAAAGGTCTTGTCCACTTCAGTCCACCCCCCACCACAGCCAGGGGCCACCTTCTACAGCTCCCATCTGTTAGTGCCTCTCCTTACTATGAGATGACTCGGCGACTCCCATTTCCTTCTGTGGATCAAATCCTGACTCCTGCACCACCCAGCCCCTGCCCTACCCCTGGACACCCTTCCCCTTGAACTAGAGACACGGGACACGTGTACTTATTGAGTTCTGTGGACACACTGTGCTCTTCCCCTGTGTACCCCATCTTTGCCACAGCTGCCCTCCTGCCTCCCCTCCCGCCCCCACTCCATTTCTCCTGTCTTCAGTCAACTTTGGTGGCTCAGCTCAACTGGCACCCCAGCCCCACACACTTCTTATATCCAAGTGACATCACGTTGTTTGGGGACTGTTTCCTCATCCCCCACCCCTTCATATTAGGTCACAAGCTCCCTGAGGCAGTGGACGGACATACAGGTCACCTGAAGGCCTAGTACAGTGCTAGTGCCCCAAGTGTTGAATAAAAGGGTGGAACAGGCCCTGGGAGGATGGGTTGCCCCTGCAGAATGCTACAGCATCTGTTTTTCAGCTCTAGGTTCTTGAACCCAGGCGGGTCAGGGAGGAAGGTGTCCCCTCAGTGAGAAGGCCCCAGCCTGACATCTACCCTGGGAAGGATCACAGGGGCGTCAGGTTTGCGACTTAGCTCAGTTGAACTTGACCTAGGCACCTAATGTATGTCAAGACATAGCAACCCTGGCAGAGAGGCAGCAGGTGGTGCAGACTAGCTTGGCTTTCAAAGACTCAGACCAACCCAGGCTGTGTAGGTCAGGGCCCAGCCGAGAGGGAGTTTGGTAAGGACTGGAGCTGGTGGGTGTGGCGGGGTTCCTGGAGACAGAGGACCCTTCTCCTCTAGTCTTGATACACCAACACCCAGGTGCTGGCTCCTTGAGATGACCAAACAGACAAGAGCTAGGCTCAAGACCAACCCTGGCCCCCCAACCCTCTCCTCAAACCACCTTCTCCTTCCCCACCCGTGCCAGGCCCCAAGTCCCCTCCACCCCAAGTCCCCTCCACCCCACCAGCTCCCCTCGTCCCCATGCTGCCACTGACACAATGCACAGCGCCCACGCTTAAAAATCTAAATGCTTTTGAAAATGTTTAACCTAGTTAGACAAATTAGCAAAAATTTGTGCAAAACAATTTAGGTATTTAAAATATTCAATGTTTTTAAAAAACTGGAAAACTGTTCTTAGCTTTCAGCTGCAAAAACCAACAAAATATAACATCCCAGCAATCTTACCATGAGGTGTAACATAACCCTTCGGGAAAGCTGTTAAACAGCTACTGAGGCATCCTGGGAAATAGCACTTCATTTATTCAAATGCACATATGTCAGGCTTTTGCACCATATGTCATTCCAAGCTATTTACAGTAATAATTAAATCTTAATCAACGTTTAACCTCTGTAAAATGTTTGAAGAATCCTAATCACCCTTCAGACTGCACTAATGAAGGAGAAATATATAAACATAAAAGGAAAATGATGCATAGATATCACACTGGAAAGAACAGTAATTGCAAAATTGTATTTCTTTTAAATATAATCAGTAAATGATGTAAAGTAAGCCAAGGAGTATTTTAAGTTAAGACATCTTGGATGTCAGAGGTGTGAGCAGCTAATTTTGTTCTGCTACCCATAACAGATGTAGCATATTTTATTTTAGTGCCATTATTAGCAACTTCCCATGCCGGCTTTCACTGAAGCACTGAGGCCCGCATTAAAATCAGAGAGGCTGCTCACCGCAGTGGAGGACCACGGCCCAGGGCCACGGCCCACGGTGCTCACTCCCTGGAGCACGCAGACCCAGGGAGAAGGAGGCCTCCTCCTCCCAGCACCCCAGGCTCCCCTGGGCCCCCTCGGAGCTGAGGGCAGCAGGTAGGAGGGATGCACGGGGGAGAGGGGAGATGCAGGCAGTGGGAAGGCTCCTGGGGGAGGTGACTGAGGAGCCCAGGAGCAGGGGCTTGGGGACAGAGTTGTTAAGCTAGGCTTTCCTCTCATTCCAACTCAGTCTGCTCTCAATTCAGCAGATGTCGATGGCCACTGACTCCCTGGCCCCAGCTGGGCACACGGAGAAGGACAAGATCAGCCTGTGTCCTTGAGAAGCTCAAAGTCTAGGGGAGGAGTCAGACAGTGAACGCAGATGGATTCCAGAGACACAAGCAAAGTGCCATGGAAACTGGGGAGGGGCTGGGGGTTACAACTGATGAAGGAACGAGGAAGGAAGCGAACAGAGGGTTTTGGTGATCAGAGAGGCTAGGCAAAGCCTGCTGGGTGAAGGGAGAAGCATTAGCTGGCCAGCATGGGCCGCGAGGGCAGGGGAGCACTGTCGGATGTGGTGGAAATGTGGCAGGCAATGGAGGTGGGGTGAGGACAAGCAGAATCCTTTATGCTACATGAAGGTGCCAACCTTTTATCTGAGAGCAATAGGGAGCCATGGGAGGATTCAGAGCAGGGGTGGGCCATAACCTTGCCTATTTTAGAAAGGTTTCTGTGGTGGTGGTGGTGTGGAGGATGGACTAGAGGGGGCAGGGAAGCCTCCCAGGGAGCAGCTGTCAGAATCAGAGAGGTGCTAGGTCCTGCCTTATGATGCTGCCAGTGGGGGCAGGCAGGAGGGTGTGCCGAGGATCCTTTCTGAAGATGAAATCCATAGGAGTTGATGACCAATTCCATGTGGGGGTGAGAGGGAGGTGTTGAGGATGACTGTGCGTTGGATGACTCCTAATTCTAGCTCAGGAGCTGGGGTGGCTGGCGATGCCATTCTCAGAGGCAGGGAATATGGGAGGGGGTGGGGCTGGGAGGGGGAGGTGTGCTCAGGGTAGCCAATGCTGAGTTGGGGGTGCCTGTGAGCTCCCCAAGTGGAGAGGCCTGGGGGGCAGATGGGTCCAGGGTTCTGGGGCGATGGGCAGGAGAGAGAGCCCGGATGTGTGAGCACAGCCAGAGCCTCCAGAGTGGAGAAGCTTGCCCAGGAGAGCAGATGGAGGGGCGGGTGCCAGGGCCTGGGGAACAGGCACATTTGAGGGGCGGGTGAAGGGAACAAGCCCATGATGGCGGCCTCGGGGGACCAGCCTGAGGAGCGGAAGCAGTGACAGAGGGTATCCAGACATGGAGCAGCAATGGACACCAGGCAGTTTTTTGAAAGTGCTCCTAGGAGGGCCAAGAGGCCT